TGTCTAACTTCTCATAATATTATTTCGCAAACTTACCAACTTACCATTATTAGCGAAACCAACCTTGCCTGTCCGAATTAAACAGGTCTAACATACTTTATTCAGACAACCTAACTTCTCTGGCCTAATTTGGTCTAAGGTAATACAGCAGCCAACTTGTTCTAAATTATTCCAGTCAATTAGCCAAAGCACACACACATATGCGTGTGTGTGTGTGTGTGTGTGTGTGTGTGTGTGTGTGTGTGTGTGTGTGTGTGTGTGTGTGTGTGTGTGTGTGTGTGAGTGTGTGTGTGTACACGGAGCGCAGGCATTTTTACGACTGCCGCGGCGGGGTAGTCGTAAAAATCAATCAATCTATCTATCTATGATAGATAGATAGACAGATTGATATAGATAGATATGTATATGTATGTATATACATATACATATATATTCATATATATATACATAATATATATATATATATATATATATATATATATATATATATATATATATATGTGTGAGTGTGTGTGTGTGTGTGTGTATGTATATATATACATATATATTTACATAAATATATGTGTGTATATATATGTACGTTTGTGTATGTGTGTGTGTGTGTGTGTGTGTGTGTGTGTGTGTGTGTGTGTGTGTGTGTGTGTGTGCTTGTGTGTGTGTGTGTATGTGAAAACTACAAATATTCACACACATCCCACATACTCTCAAACACACATAGGTGTATATGTCTAAAACGACGAAAATAAATCCATTTCGTATCCACCTTATCTTCGTTACATCCCTCACCGTCCAAAAGGCGGAACCGTTAATATCATAACTTCTCACATTTCAAATATTTTGTCTCATGATCATGCCAATTAGCAAAATAATTAAGCTTCAAGACATGCCGGAGAGTGTACATACCTGTGATAACATTATGGCTGGATATAAAACGCTGATTGAGGCGTTAAAGGGAAAGTGGCAACCTGGGACTCTCAATTAATTAAATACTCATTAATCTAAGTTTATAATGCCTGCAAGATAAGATCGGAACTCATTTAATGCTTCCGATGTGACATACTCCCTTAACCCTGACATCTTAATTAAAAGCTACGATCTTAATTATAATAACCGTGGAATGCGTGTGTTCGCTGGAGAGCGGAAGGTAATCGACCTGTGATCTTTTCCAGGTGTTCGGGGATGGTCGAAAATTTTCCACAAAAAAACGAGAGAGAGAGAAAAAAAGCGTGAGGAGGTGAAACCAGCTTCGCAAGACATTCCTGGCACACTGGTCTTTCATAATCCTTAGTGGACAATAATCTGCCCTTGCTATAAAACACGTATTACCGAGCTTCGTCAAACAGATTTCAGATAACTATCGCTCGTATCACAAACCCAAGATCACGGTACTTTCCGTCGTCACTTTCATAAAAATCAAAATGAAAAGGAGAGAAACAGCTGGGGTATTTCCGTAGCTATCGAGCAGTGAGGATAACCTACCTCTATTTACAAACAAACGCCAGGGCCATGTTTACGCCGAGGGAGTGTGATTCGACACATGGTAGCTTTCACGAGGCTTCCACTTGAGATCTGTGCGTGCGAAGGAGAGCCGAGGGTGACAAGAAGCCGTAACTCTTGAGGCGATAGAGCCATGATGAAGGGGTATGGGAGTTTGAAAGCCACCTTTCAAGAGAGCAATTATGCAGCCGTTTAAAATCTGTGGGGGGGGGGGGGAGCACTTTAGCGTGGAAGGCATTCAGCGTAAGTTCGATCGTTAAATTTTATTCCCCACTTTTTTTTCTTCGTTTATATTGATTACAGAAAGTGTTTTATTCATTGATGTCAGGAATTAATCTCTCAAATAGGCAGTGAATATTTAGTAGTAAAAGCTATTGTTTCTTTTTTTTTCTTTTTGTAATATCAATATTTTATTTTGTTATATCACGAAAAAAAATATATAATCTCTTATGTGATTAGTCTTGTACTCAGTTTTTCATCATATGATAATCAGATACCAAACCAAAAATAATAAAATCCGTAGACAGAATAGGAGTGAAATAGATTTTGTATCCTGCTGAAGACAATTTAAAAAAGAAAGTTAGTGAAAAGTTTTCGAGGGAGAAAAAAAAAGATCTGAGAGAAAGGAAAAAAACGGCATTTCAACAATGTTCGGGGAAATTTTCTATGCCTATTTTTTAAGGCTCAGAATGCGGAAAATTTGGTAAATCTCCGTTTGGAAAGCTTTATTGGCCAAGAACACACTCTCTACTTGTTCTCTCAAATACAACAGAGCTGCGAGGACTTCAGGGACATTTCACCCCATGATTTGTTTTAGCCATGAGAGAGAGAGAGAGAGAGAGAGAGAGAGAGAGAGAGAGAGAGAGAGAGAGAGAGAGAGAGAGAGAGAGAGAGAGAGAGACAGAGAGACAGAGAGAGAGAGAGAGAGAGACAGACAGAGAGGCAGAGACAGAGAGAGAGCAAACAGAGACAGAGACAGATACAGACAGAAACAGTAACAAAGAAAAAAAGAATGTACGAAGAAAAAAAAAAAAAACATTTTAAATTAAAAACCACAATGCACGAAACCCCATGCAAACCTACCACAAGGAAAAAATCTAATTTTCCCTCCTCCTCCTCCTCCTCTTCTTCAGGAGTGCTGGAAGCGGGTTCCCGGAAATGGTTCTACGGCTCGGAGGACACGGGGCAGCCCTATCTGGCGACGGAGGAACTGAACATGACCGCCATCTTGGATTACACTGTCTCCTTGCCCTGCCGCGTCTTCAACCTCAGGGACAGGACGGTAAGATTTTGTCTAGCAATGTTGGGTGTTGGTGAACATAATGAAGGTGTTTTGTTTTGTTTTTTCTTGTTTTTTTTTTTCTTGAACATTCTTCGTATTAGTTTTGTCGCATGGTTATTTTTCGTTTTGATTATCGAACGATTTTATTATAATTTTTACATCGTTATTTTTTTTTTTTTTCATTATTCGTATTGTTTTCCGGTGTAGGTCTTCCTTCAGTTTATGATTATAGTAATAAATGATAAACTCGTCCAGGTTTTGTTACAACATAAACACACCTGCACGAAAACAAAATCGCATACTTTACAAAACTGCGGGAAACACTAATCCAAAAAAAACTCTACGGGAAAGACAACCATGTTTTCAAACCCGCACGTAAATCTTCCCCGCTGGCGTTGACATTCGCAACCGTAGCAAGGTGCAAGGTGATGACTGCAAATGATTAATGTGCTAGACGAATCGTGGTAATTATATGCGAAAGCCAGGGCGGTTCTGAGATCAGTCATGTGGTTATGAGACAGACCGAAGACAAATCTACACCTTTGAGGTTTAGTGCTGAGAGGAAAGCGTTGTTACTGTGATTTAAGAACCGCGATGGCTTCTCTGGTCTGATAAGTGGCTGTCAGATTTCTTCGATGACGGCTGATAATCGCGGGGACTTGCATGTTTGATTTAGAGTGTGCTGAATATCGAATTTATTTGATTCACGAATTGGGCAAAGTGTTTAAAATGTATTTCAAATTTAGAAGTGGTACGCATTTTATTTTGTTTTATTTATTATATATTTATCATTATTTATCACCTACATATTTTCTATTATGGATATTTGATTAATATATGGAAAATATGAGAGAAAAAAGTGATATTACCCGCGAAATATTCTGTTACAAAGCCCACAGAGAAACGTTGTCAGCATGGCATTTTTTTTTTCTTCTTTCAGTTCATATCCGTAAGAAAGAAAAAAATCCCTTTTTCCCTTTTGATTCATGTTCACGCCGGTGTTGGCACGATGCCCATACCCCCCCCCCCCCCCACGCTCGCTCATGACACAGTGTCGCACCTTCTGTCGCCTAACCTCATTACTCGCAGTTCTGTATTTAACCGACCTATTGGTTCCCCCCGTGGAATCTGAACAGCCAATCCGCGTCGCTTCCGGAGGACTGTGCGGAACATACCGGTCGCTCATTGGTCCGTTTGTTATTTAAGATAGCTTTTTGAAGGCGGCTTTGTAGTAGTAGTAGTAGTAGTGTTGACATGAAAGCATCGAGAATCTGTTAACAAGTGGATTCTCGACGTTGATCTGCAGTCATTGTACGTCACTTTCAACCCAGATTTACTTTTTTTCTTTTTTTTTCTCTCTCTCTCTCTCTCTCTCTCTCTCTCTCTCTCTCTCTCTCTCTCTCTCTCTCTCTCTCTCTCTCTCTCTCTCTCTCTCTCTCTCATTCTTCTCCTTTTTCACGTTACATGAAAACACGTATCCAACAAGACCGTTCAACACAGGGAGCGTGCGTGTAAACTCGTGGAAAGCCACAAGAACGCAAAAGAAAAAAAGAAAAGAAAAAGAAAGTAAGAAAAAAGAATTTGGAAGAACAGAAAAGAAAAAAAAAGAAGGAAAAAAAAGAAAAGAATAAAAGGCGGGCGTGCAATCCATGTCCCTGTTGCCTCTGTTGGTTCTCAGGCGAGGATTTTTTCGCGCCACGTCGTGTGTGAGAGAGGGAAGAATTTAGCGTTATCAGGACTCAACCATTTACCGTTTTTTTTCGTTACTTTGTTTACTAGGTTTGTAAACACGCATTTTTTTTACGGATCCCTCATGATAAAAGTTAATTTAAAATAAAACATTTATAAGCAGGGAGCCTAAAAAATGAGTAAGCTGTGATGTGTGCTGTGTTGGTTAGTACATAACCACACACACACACACACACACACACACACACACACACACACACACACACACACACACACACACACACACACACACACACACACACACACACACACACTAACACTCATACTCATAATCATACTCATACTCACACGCACATGCATATATCTGAACACATACATGACATACATGTAAACGAGCATACAATGAAATTCTATCCATACAACTGTGCTGCTGCTTTACGATAAAGAAAACATGAAACTTGAAAATTAAGGAGTTTCATACACACACCTAGTGCGTGTATACATTTGTGTATGTATCTCTCTTTCTCATTCTCTTTTTCGTACTCTCTCTCTCTCTCTCTCTCTCTCTCTCTCTCTCTCTCTCTCTCTCTCTCTCTCTCTCTCTCTCTCTCTCTCTCTCTCTCTTCCTTCCTTCCTTCCTTCCTTCCTTCCTCCGTCCCTCTCCCTCTTCCTTTCCCTCTCCCTCCTTCCTTTCCTCTCTTTCTCCCTCTCTCTCCCCTTCCCTCTCTGATGTGGTTTTCCATGCACTTAGGAGTACTAATAATAGCGATACAATCATCACGAAAAAAATCTATTTTCACTGGTCCGTCACCTATTGAAAGGCTTAACGATGATGAGCGAAACATGTGTGCAAGCAGCCATGCATGCAACTGTTTTAAAAAGCGAAGCAAAACATGATTCATCTCTAAATGCAAAAGCATGTGTACTCGTATCATTTCTATTCTTCTCTCTGCTTTCCCTTCTTCCCTGTTCGTTCTGTCTGACTCACATCATTGCAAAAAGTAGAATAATTTAATGCATGAGCGAGCACACTTGTTATGAGATTGGAACTACTGCTACTATGACTAATAATCGTAATAATAGCAATACTGATAACTATCATGATGAAAATGATGATGGTAATAATGATAATCTATTGTAATAATGATAATATTAATTATCATTCTAACAGTAAAAATGATTAAGAACACCAGCAACCTAAATAACTATGATAATTAAGATCATAACGATAATAAGAATAAACATAAAGAACAAGTGTCAAGTCTCTCTCTATCTATATCCAATTAACTATCTATCCGTCTGTCTGTCAACCTATCAGTCTATGTATCTATCAATCTACCTACCTACCTATCCCTCCCCCCCTCCCTCCCTCCCTTCCTCTTTACAAACTGCATCTCTCAACCACCTTTCTGTCAACCGACCTACCACTGGGCGAACACTGAAGACCGTGTATCGAGCTTAGTGTAAACAAGGGAGACGAGCCAAAGGAAATTTCAGAAAGACAGATGAAGAAGAAGAAAAAGAAGAAGAAGAAGAGAAAAAAAAAAACTTGAAAGACAACTCAGAAGATTGGAAAGGTTGACACGAACTAATTAGGCAAAGAATTTTTCGCCCACGACGTGAGTGGGAACAAGGACAGTGGAAGACAAGAATAGAGGTAGTGGTGATGATAATAGTGGAAATAATAATGGGAATAATAGCATGCTAACGATGATGATGATGATAGTAAAAATATAAATAGTAATAATGATAATAATAATAAAAATAGTAATAATGATAATAATAATAAAAATAGTAATAATGATAATAATAATAAAAATAGTAATAATGATAATAATAATAAAAATAGTAATAATGATGGTAATAATTAAAATAGTAATAATGATAATAATAATAAAAATAGTAATAATGATAATAATAATAAAAATAGTAATAATGATAATCATAATAAAAATAGTAATAATGATAATAATAATAAAAATAGTAATAATGATAATAATAATAAAAATAGTAATAATGATAGCATAAAAATAGTAATAATGATAATAATAATAAAAATAATAATAATGATAATAATAATAATGATGATGATAATACGTATACTATTACTAATGATGGTAATAATAAAGAGGTAGATATAAGGAATATGAAATTAATTAGTAAGGTGATGTGGTTAGTATTAATGACATTTTTACAATCAAAGGTAAAGCTAACAATGAGAACGACGAACGTGGTGAAGTAATAAAAACAATAATGAAAAGAGATGACAGTAATGATAGCGATGATAATGACTGTGGTGATAAAATAATGATAGTATTGATAATAGTAATAATGAATAAAATCTTAGCAAAAGGATAATAATAACAGTAATGCGACGATAGCAATAAGACTAAGAAACTGTATATAGCCTTATGATGATAATGGAGATAATAACGATTTGACGAAAGAAGCAAGTGTCACTGTTGTTTTAACTGTGTGTTTTGTGAAGCCGCTACCTACTGTTATTACATACTCTGTGTGGGAGAGATTCGCCATTTGCCATGACATTTCTTCAACCAACTTAGGTTAAGAGCGTGCAAGCAGGCGTGTATGTGCGTGTTCTTGTGCCTTTATTTTGCGTGTATTGTTGTTGTTGTTGTGTGTGTGTGTGTTCGTGTGCGTGTTGTGTGGCGCGTGTGTGTGTGTGTGTGTGTGTGTGTGTGTGTGTGTGTGTGTGTGTGTGTGTGTGTGTGTGTGTGTGTGTGTGTGTGTGTGTGTGTGTGCGTGTGTGTGTGTGTGCGTGTGTGTGTGTGTGCGTGTATGTGTGTTCTCGCGTGTGCGTGTGTATATATGTGTGTCTGTACGTGTATGTGTGAGTGAGAGAGACTGAGTATTAGAAGGCACCCACACGTTACCAGCTCTATTGTGTTTGGCGTCCGGCGCCCACCTGTGCTATACTTGTTGGGGAGCACTGTTCCCCAAGAGAAAAAAAAGCGGCGAGAGAGAGAGACAGGCAGACAGAGAGAGACAGACAGACAGGCAGAGAGACAGAGAAAGAGAGAGAGAGAGTGGGAGAAGGGGGAGAGTGAGAGAGAGACAGAGAGAAAGAGAGGGGGAAGGGAAAGAGAGGGAGAAGGGAGGGAGAGAGAAAGAGAGAAAATAGAGACAAACAGAGAGAGAGACAGACAGTGAGACAGACAAACAGACAGAAATATACAGAACGAGGGGGGAAAGGTGGGGGAGAATAAGATGCACACACAAACACACACACACACACCAATGCCCACCCACAGATAACCGCCCATGTCACCCACGCCCTCTGATATCCCCCACCGCGTCGCCTCCGCTTATCAAACACGAAAAAACTTCCTAAATGGGACAGGCAGTTATGTAAACACGAGTAGGCTTGGGAGGGTGGGGGTGGGTGGGGGTGTCATCCCTTTTCCTTCCATACATACATACATACATACATACATACATACATACATACATACATACATACATACATACATACATACATACATACATACATACATACATACATACATACATACATACATACATACATACATACATACATACATACATACATACATACATACATACATACATACATACATACATACATACATACATACATACATACATACATACATACATACATACATACATACATACATACATACATACATACATACATACATACATACATACATACATACATACATACATACATACATACATACATACATACATACATACATACATACATACATACATACATACATACATACATACATACATACATACATACATACATACATACATACATACATACATACATACATACATACATACATACATACATACATACATACATACATACATACATACATACATACATACATACATACATACATACATACATACATACATACATACATACATACATACATACATACATACATACATACATACATACATACATACATACATACATACATACATACATACATACATACATACATACATACATACATACATACATACATACATACATACATACATACATACATACATACATACATACATACATACATACATACATACATACATACATACATACATACATACATACATACATACATACATACATACATACATACATACATACATACATACATACATACATACATACATACATACATACATACATACATACATACATACATACATACATACATACATACATACATACATACATACATACATACATACATACATACATACATACATACATACATACATACATACATACATACATACATACATACATACATACATACATACATACATACATACATACATACATACATACATACATACATACATACATACATACATACATACATACATACATACATACATACATACATACATACATACATACATACATACATACATACATACATACATACATACATACATACATACATACATACATACATACATACATACATACATACATACATACATACATACATACATACATACATACATACATACATACATACATACATACATACATACATACATACATACATACATACATACATACATACATACATACATACATACATACATACATATACATACACATACATATACATATATATAAATATATATATATATATATATATATATATATATATATATATATATATATATATATACACACACACACGCACAAATAACTCTATATCAAATAACTCTTTTTTTTCGCTTCACACCTTCTATCCCCGGCCGATCAAAGTCGCAGACGAACCTCCTGGAGCCGAAATAACATCTGCAGATCTTAACAACTCGCACTCTTGGGACACGAGTCCGACGCATAAAAGAGGCGAGTCCCATGAACCCTCCCCCCCCTCCACCCCTTCGTTAAAAGCTACGGTTTGATGAACCAATTCCCTTTAGGTGTGATAAACCCACAAGCAACGACCCCTTTCATTTAAGCCACGTAGAGACCATCCAGACTCGTTGATACCTATGTATTTATAAATTCAGCATATACATATATCCACTTATACTATATGCACACTTCTCTATATCTTTTCTTCATTTCCCATCTGCTTATCTACACGTACCAATTCATCTATTGATATATCTCCGTGTATACTCTCATGTCCGGGATATCACACACGGCTTCTAATCCTAGTCATTGGCTACTGAACACCCGGGTATCGCCTTTTATTCCATCGCCATCTGGTCCCGCATTTCTTGCCGACTAATACCAAGCGCGGTTTTCAGACAACTTTATTGACGTTTTTATAAGGGGATACTGAAGAAAAGGAAAATGATGCGTGTTTAAAATGACGCCAGAGCAGAAAGAACATTGATTGCTATTATTATTTTTTTTAGGACGATACTAAAAAAAAAGAGAGAGAGAAAGCAAGCCTTAATTACTGATTTGTGTTTAGGGCGATAATGTTTCATTCAAGAGGATGATAAAAGGGAAAGAAATTGGGAAAGTGGGCTTTATGAGAAAGTGGGACCTGATTGTTAATTAATTTGTAAGCGAACGCAAAAGGAAACAGGTAAGTGAGAACGTCAGCCATACTTGTTTTAAGAGGATGTTAAAGGAATAGAAAATGTCATCGGGGCTTATATACGTATTTGTGTTCTTTATACATTATTAGCAGTCATTAACAAATTACTTTTCATTCTTATACTATTGTTCAATTGTGTGTGCTTCTTAGTTTGTTTGTTTGTTTGCTTTTTTGCTGTACGTATGAAAGAGAGAGAGAGAGAGAGAGAGAGAGAGAGAGAGAGAGAGAGAGAGAGAGAGAGAGAGAGAGAGAGAGAGGAGAGAAAAAACGAGAGAGAGAGAGAGAGGAGAGGAAAAAACGAGAGAGAGAGAGAGAGAGAGAGGAGAGAAAGAACGAGAGAGAGAGAGGAGAGAGAAAAAAAAACGAGAGAGAGAGAGAGAAAACGAGAAAGAACGAGAGAGAGAGAAAAAGAGAAAACGAGAAAGAGCGAGAGAGAGAGAAAAAAAACGAGAAAGAACGAGAGAGAGAGAGAGGAGAGAAAAAACGAGAGAGAGAGAGAGAGAGGAGAGAAAAAACGAGAGAGAGAGAGAGAGAGAGAGAGAGAGAGGAGAGAAAAAACGAGAGAGAGCGAGAGAAAACGAGAAAGAACGAGAGAGAGAGAGAGAAAAAAAGACAAAACGAGAAAGAACGACAGAGAGAGAAATAAAAAACGAGAAAGAACGAGAGAGAGAGACAGACAGAAACTAACAAACTAATAAACCACACCCAGCACCAAAACCGACAAACAGACAAGCAAACCATGCATTCGAACACCCATACATTCACAGTAGGCCTTCAGCAAAATAAAGGAAAATAAACCATTAAAAAAAATCCATCTGAATTACAGGTATCATGGATTCGCTCCCGAGATCTGACAGTACTGGCCGTGGATAGACTCACCGTTACAACAGATTCTAGGATCAAAGTAAGTATAAAAGGCCTGGATGGAATACTTTTTAATCATCATATTAAAGGTCAGATTTTTTTTATTGAAGTCAAGTGAGAAGGCATTATTTGCTATTTGTTATAATTGATAGTTATAAGGATAATTGTGATGGTAATAATGTTGGTAATGATAATAATCATGATAATTATTATGATATTGATAATGATGGTGGTAACAATGTTAGCAATGAGAGTAACGATAATAATCATGATAATGGTAATAATAAGGATAATGATAAGAAAAAGATAACAATAATGGAAATATTGTTATTATAATCATCAGTATCATTATTATTCTAAGGTTTAGGTATTCTCTTTTTATCCTTTTTTGTGTCTGTCACTATTATGAAGGAGAACTGAAGGAGTAATAAGGAAAAACTAAAAAAAGAGGGCTTAGATGAAAAGGAAGAGGGTGAAAGATGCAAAAATAAAGAAAAAGAAACAAAAAGGTGAAAAGAAAACAACCTCCTTTCCTCTTTGAGATTTTGGCTTGAAATATCTTCACCAAGATTATACACTCCACCTCTCCCTCTCTCCCTCTTTCCCTTCCTCCCTCCCCCTCTCCTTCCTTCTCTTTCGCTCTTTTCCTTCCCTCTCTCTCGTTCCCTTCCCTTCTCTTCCTTCCTTTCATCCCCCTCTCAGTTCCTCTCCTTTTCATCCTTGCTTTCACCCCCCCTTTCGTTTCCTCCCTTTCTCTTTCTTCCTCTCATCTCCTTCTCTTTTCCTTTCCTTTCCTTCCTCCGTTACCATCTCTTCCTTACCTCCTACTCTCTTCCTTCCCCTCCTCCGTCCCCATCTCTTCCTTCCCTCCCCCTCTCTTCCTTCCCTCCCTCTTTCCCTTCCTCCCTCCCCATCTCTCCCTTCCCTCCCCCTCTCTTCCTTCCCTCCCTCTTTCCCTTCCTCCCTTCCCATATCTCCCTTCCCTCCCCCTCTCTTCCTTCCCTCCTCTTCCCTTCCTCCCTTCCTCTTTCCTTCCTCCCTTCCTTCCTTCCTCCCCCATCTCTCCCTTCCTTCCCTCTATCTCTCCTTCCCTTCCTCTTTCCTTTCCTCCCTCCCCATCTCTTCCCTTCCTCCCTCCCCATCTCTCCCTTCCTTCCCTTCCTCTTTCCCTTCCTCCCTCCCCATCTCTCCCTTCCTTCCCTCTATCTCTCCTTCCCTTCCTCTTTCCTTTCCTCCCTCCCCATCTCTTCC